TGTTCCATCCTTTGACTTTCAGCCTATGAATGTCCTTATGAGTGAAATCTGTTTCTTGTATACAGCATATTTTTGGATTTTGTTTCCTAATCCACTGTGCCAGAAAAATATGGACTGCTTCACGAATTTGCGTGTCATCCTTGCACAGGGGCCATGCTAATCTCTGTATCGTTCCAATTTTAGTATATGTGCTGCTGAAGCGAGCACCATCCTAGGGATTGAACTTAGGGTTTCATACATGCTACGTGTCTTAGTTCTTTTTCTCTCATTGCTGAGACAAAATACCCAACACCCAAAGTTAAAGGGGGGCTGGCAAGCACAAGGGCCTGAGTTCAATCACCAGTTCCACCAAAAAAAAAAAAGAAAAAGAAAGAAAAAAATTAAAGAGGGGAAGGTTTATTTAGCTCACAGCTGGAGGGGTTTCAGTCCATACTCGGCTTCTCTGAGGCAGGCTCTGCAGCAAAGGAGCATCACAGAGAACAGCTCATGACAAAAGAGGGCTGGCAGCGGCAGCAAGCAGCCAGCAGTAAGCAGTGACTCTTTCCCTTGCATCTTCTCCAGGTTCCCTACCCAGGGCAGGCAGCTCTCACACCCAGGGAGGGGCAGCCTTAGTCCTGGCATCACATCGGTGACCCCAGCAGCGCATACCCCAAATCCAGCCACCACTGGAAAGCCCCACCCATGACCGCATGAGGCCCTGGGGGACACTGAGACATAAGTCCTAATGCCAGGCGAGCACTATACCCCTGCGCTAGAGCCCCAGCTCTATTTGTATTTTATTGTAAGACAGCGTATCAGTAAGTTGCTCGAACTGGCCTTGCATTTGTGATCTTCCTACCTAAACTTCCTACGTAGCTGGGATGACAGTGCATGCCACCATGCCTGACTATATATGAATATTATAACATCATATTGAATAACTTAAATATAGCAAATAAGGGGCCAGGGAGATGGCTCAGTAGAATAAGCACTTGCCTGGCAAGCACAAGGACCTGAGTTCAATCCCTGGTTCCGCAAAAAAAAAAAGAATCCAGCTGTTTGGCTGCTACAGCACATTTATTAGGGAAGTTAGACGGACAGCTAAGCACCTGCCCACCAACTACAGCTACGATTTAACTAATCAATTCACCCAAAACAAGTGGCAGGCAGGCAACCCTGCAGGCTCTACCGTGCTTCACAGGCAGGACTTCCTCTGGGAATCTACAGCTCTAAACCTGTCATTAGATGTTCGGTGCTGTCTTGGTCAGCCCTGGTGTCCATACCAAATGCCCCCAGACAGGTGGCTGATGGCACAGTGGGTCTTTGTCATTGTCTCAGTAGGTCTGCAGGGACAGCCGGCAGCTTTGTGGGGAGGGCCGCCTCCAGACACCCTCTTCTCCTAAGGGCACTGCCCTCCAACTGGACTTGGCCGCGGGGGGCTGCACCTCGCCACAGGATGGGGGGACAGAAGCTTCCGTCCGGGCCCTGGGGGTGTCTCTGAAGTGTCAGTGTCCCTGTCCCACAAGCTGCGAGCTCCCCTTGCAGTCGCTGCGCTCTCTTCCACAGCTCTTCTTTACGGTGTCATCTGAAGGTTTGCTGAAGACTCCGTACAAGCCTGCCGCCGACCTCGGTGCCAGGGTTTGTCTCCATCCTGTGAAATGCCTCAGCTGAGAAGCAAGGGCTGTTCCAGCAGGAGCTCGGTGCAGTGAGTGAAGGGACATCTTCACGGTCCTGAGAGTGAATCTGAATAATGAAGTGTTCATGCTTGAGATTTAAAGTTCTCTGCTAGAACACTCAGTTTCAAAATATCTCACCAGTTTATTTATATTGTGGCACAAAATGCACCACGAGCCAGTATCCTGTTTCTTAGTTGCCCACATAACAGGTCCTCTTCCAGTTCCGGTTGCTTCTGCTCTCTTAGAAATGGCTGGTCACTGTGACGCACGCTGTGTAAGCCAATCCCCACTGACGAGCCACTCTGCCTCTCTACCTCCTGCTTACTTATCCCATAGAAGCCCCAGACCACCAGAGATCAGGGCCTGTTACTGGACATGTAATAAATCTGCCTCCAATCTGGGTGCCATTTTGGTTTCTGCTTGCCCTTGCAAAACTACACCTGTCATACTCCCTTCTAGAAACAAATCTTCCTCCCTAGTTTTACCTCACATGAGCACATTCTCAATTCCGCAATCTAAATATTGACTGCAAACCAACTGCTTCTGTTTGGATTTTTTGTTTGTTTGTTTTTGGTCAAAGCCAACTAGATGTTATTTCAACTAAGAATACAATATAAATAACATAAATGCATATCTAACTTAGTGTAACAGTCATTTCAAGAAGGGTGTCAGGGGCTAGCCAAATAGCAGACTAGGGCTAGCCAAATAGCTCCGCAGATTAAAGTGCCTGCAAGCAGGAACAGGGGCTGGTGGTTCAATCCCCAGCATGCTGTGCTGGCCCTGCCCCCAGGGCGCGCTGAGCCAGGCATTAAGCCTGGGTGCGGTGGCACACACTTGTAATCCCAGAGGCTGGGAGGCTGAAAACAGGAAGGTCACTATGAGTCCGATCTGTATAGTGAGACCCTGTAGACCCTGTACTAAGTACATTTTTTAAAAAGAAGGGTGTCAAGTTACTGAAAACTATAAAACTGGGCCCTGCAGAGACACGGGTGCTTGGAGTACACACATCTATTAGAAGGCACAGGTCACAGCAGGGCACACACATTGCGGCGAGACACACACGTCACAACAGGGCACACACGTCGCGGCAGGGCACACGCGTTGTGGCAGGGCACAGCAAGCTACAGCGCTATCGACAGACAAAAGGAACAGCATGCAGAAAATGACTTTGCCTCGTATTTGTGACTATTCTTGATGTTTGGATCTTTTTAAAATTATCTTCTGTTTTTGTTTTTTGAGACAGGGCCCTGCTGTGTATTCTAGTCTGGCCTGAAGTTGGGGCAATCCTGCTGCCTCAGCTGCCCAAGGGCTGGCACCAGCACACCCAGCTGATTCAAAGCTGCAGAGGTGTAGAAACCCTGGTGGAGGAGGCCAGGGAGGGGAGGGGCTGGAGCCACGGCCCGCCCTCCCCTCTCCTTCTCCAAGCTGCTGTTCTCGGGCAGTCTGTCACAGCACTGGAACCTAACATGCCAGCTCACTCAAAATCACCTGCGTAGCTTTAAAATAATTCCCACACACCCAGTCTTTGTCCTCTGAATCAGGGTTTACACTTGGAAATTACATTCAAGCACTGATTAAACAAGAGTCTTGGCTGAGTGTGATGGCACTTGTCTCAGCGACCTGGAAGGTGAGGCAGGAGGACAGCGAGTTCGCGCCCAGCCTGGGTGACTTAGCAAGGCCCTGTCTCAAAATAAAAATAGGGCTGAGGATACAGGTGTTCAAATGCCTGGCTAGCATCATGAGGCCCTGGTTCAAGCCCCAGCACCACGAAACAAAAAAATAAAACAAAGTCTAAAGTTGATAACATGGTAATTTACATAATTTGCCTAAATGTAAAACAAGTCAGCTAAAGTGTTTGATTCTCCTTTTAAACATGTATTTGAATCTTATTATAAAATATGTTAACTTATACATTTTAGTTTGGAAAAACTAGTGTTTCTTAGTTGCAATAGGACATTCATTACAACCGTGACAAGCAAATGGTGTTTCCAAATGAATTTCAAGAAACCGAAGTATCCCAAGGACTTTGTCATACAACAAATAAAATGCCACCTGTGTGTCCCCTGACCCCCTGGACCGTGTCTTACAAAGCACTCTGAAAACCACAGACCGTTGGGGACACTCAGGTGTGGCGGCGGGTGTTTGTTTTGGTTAGCTTTTTTTTTTTTTAAACTAACTGTGTCAGGTACGACACAGCAAAGGTCACCAGTGTGACAAAGGTGAGCACTGCCTGTAGGACTTCCAGGTTAAATCTGCCAGCCCCATTCTCAATGTAAGTGATACAGTAGCTTACATTTGTTTGGTGCTTACCCAGTGCCAATTGCCATTCGAAACATCTCACTAGAGCTGAACACGGTGGCGCAGGCCTGTAATCCCAACACTCAGGAGGCTGAGACAAGAGGATTGCTGTGAGTTTGAGGCCAGCCTGGACTACACAGTGAGTTCAAGGCTAGCTTGAGCTATAAGCAAGACCCTCACTCAGAAAACCTAAAAGCAAAAAAAGTTTAAAAAAAAAGCTAAGAAAACCAAAAAGCAAAGAAAAACAAATCTTGATAATCTGAACCACCCAACAGGTCTGGTACTCTTAGTCCACCTGACTGAGGAAACAAAGAGGCTGAGGCCACGTGCAGGCAGCCTGGTGCAAGCCCGAGACCCCCAAGGTGTGCTCACACCCACAGAATCTGTCTCGAGAAGCAGGCAAGTGCACACGCAGAGGCAGAGACGAGCCTCCCTCACACAGGACAGGAACCAGCTGTCCATGAAACCCTGGGTGACCACGCAGGACCTACGGGCCCCACCACAGGACCGGGATCCGGGACTCATCTCCTAAGTGGGAAACGTCCCCGTCAAGGAAAGGTTTGCACCGCTGTCCCTCAGGCCACTACTGGCAAACTGTGACACGTGTGCCAGAGCAGGCCCTCAGGATCACTGAGCGCTCTAAAAGGTTCACCATCGTGCTCGGCAGAGCACACCAGGCGCCCCACCTTGGAGCTGTGCTCCCAGCTCTGAATCCAGTGGCCACAGCGCAGGACACAGTCAACATGGCCTGGCGGGCCGCAGATGACCGAGCTCCGCAGGACGCCCCCGTCACGTGGCCCCACGGTGCCTGGCCGCTGGGTGCAGGGGCAGCAGGGCTCCCAGAGCGCCCCTCTCATTGCTGGACTGCAGGGGCTGCAGCTTTGTTCGCTCTGCTGACCCAGGTAGACACGAGCCCTACTCAGGCTCAGCAACCAAAAGTCTGCTTAAAAATAGAAAACCGTGGGGCGAGATGGCTCAGCAGCCTAAGTGCCTGCCTGGGAAGCTCAAGGCTCTGAGTTCAATCCCTGGTTCTAATGAGTCCAGTGTGGTGGCCCATACCTCTCATCCCAGCACTCTGGGAGGGTGAGGCAGGAAGATTACAAGTTCAAACCTGGCCTGGGAAACCTGGTGACTTTGTAAGATTGTTTTAAAATAAAATATAAAAAGAGCTAGGGATATAGCTCAGCACAAAGGCTGAGGGTTCAATAACCAATATCAAACCCATCAACTGTGAAAAATCTGAATCAAAACTAGATGCACTGGCATAGCAGGAGCCTGCAAGTTCCAAGCCCACCCTGGACAATTTATTGACTTAGTGACATCCTACCTCAAAAAATAAATTTTTTTTGAGTCAGTATCTTGAGTCAGCAATCCTCCTGCCTCAGCCTAAGTACCAAAACAAAACAATGTTTTAAATGGCCAGGGATCAAGTTGGGCAAGGTGGTGCATGTTTATAATCCCAGCACTTGGGAGGCTGAGGCAGGAGGATCCCCATGAGGTTGGACTACATAGTGAGTTCAAACTGAACTACATGGCGAGCTTTCTACACACACACACACACACACACACACACACGCACAAAGCCAGGTACTGCCTTGTCCAGCACAGCTCTCAAATTTGGGGGGGAGGGGATAGTCTATGAGAGGATGGAGAAATAAAGAAAAATAAGAGACAATGGGGCTGGGGAGATAGCTCAACAGCATAAGTACCTGCCTAACAAGCACCAAGGTCCTGAGTTCAATCCCTAGTACCAAAACAAAAAGAGTATACCTGTGGTGAGCCCACGCCCTCTTTCTAGATGGGAGGTTTTCCTTTATGTATCTGGCAGGCTGATGTCACATCACACCCTCAGCTTAATGAGCTCGCCTCTTACCCCCACCCCACGTGCCCCCCGTCCTCAGGGCCGCTAGCCTGGGGAGCTCCGAGCCCTCAAGCATTCCTCAGTGCTGTGCTCTGGCTCCATAGGATGGTAAGTGTGTGGGCTCTAGGTTCAATCCCCAGTACTTAGAAAAAAATGAAAAGTAAAAATCTGGCAGGATGAGATGCTTCTTGGCAGCAAGAAACTTGTTTCTAGACAACAGTTTAACCTACGAGATGGCACGCCAGACTTGGTCTCAGCACCTCCAAACCCTGTTCACACACCCATCTTACTCTGTCTCCAGGCTAACGCTGCCCAGTTCCTCGAGGCAAAGGGCTTGCGCCTGACACAGAGGCCTCGGCACCTACCTCCTCTGCCGTCCAGAAGGATGCCTGCGCCTGCTTGTACATCTTCCAGATGTCGGGGTACTGGATGGGGAAGATGACGAATCGGCGGGAGCTCTTTCGGAGGAGAGGCTCTTCATTAGATTTCACCGCGTTGTTGGTATTATCTGGAGAAGACCTCTGAAAAGCAAAGTCTACTGATGAGTCATCTCTTCCTCTGCTCCTCCTTTCCTGGTTCCTACAGCGAGGGAAGCCAGGGTCAGCACTGGTCTGGGCACGCGGCCCCGCCTCAGAGCCCAGTCTCTCACTGGCTAGTCGCATCTGGCTCATCGAGTGGCTGCAGGAAGTTGCTTAACTTCACTGGGCTGCAGTTCCTGCAGCTATAGAGTAACACCTACCTATACTCGGGAGCTGAGGCAGGAGGATCTCTGTGAGTTTGAGGCCAGCCTGGACTGCATAGTAAGACCCTATCTTAAAAAACTGATTAAAAAAAGGGGGGTGGTATCCACCTATCAGGTTGCTTCTGATGACTGAAAGTACTTTAAACAGTATCTGGTGCAAGGCAAACACTCAAAAATTACCAGATTTTGCTACTTGGGGATAAGTAGTGGGCCCCTAAGTGTCACATGGGAAAACCTCTAAGTCTGTGGACAAAGGGTCCCTTCTGTACCACTCCTTTGGTACCATTCTGGTACAGAACACTGGCAGGAGCAGATCACTGGCATAAGCTATGTTTTTATTTTAAACTTTCAGTTAGGATTAAGCTGACAGTTCCTAACAACAACATATCAGCCTCCGATTACCTTTACCTTCCATATACCCATCTGTTCTTCCTATGTACGTTTTCAGATTGTTCTGCATAATACAAAACTCTGATCACTTCTAAGAGCACACTAGTACTCATGGCCTCAGCCACATCTTTTTCTTTTTTCTTTCTTTCTTTTCTTTTTTTT